GGGGGCTGCTGCCCCCCCTGCCCCGAGCCTGCCTGGGGACACGGCGGTGGGGTCGGGGACGCTTGGGAGGGCGATGGCGGGGGGGTGGTTTGAGGGGCTGACATCTCCCCGACGGGCTGGGGAGGGCTGGAGACTGCAGTCTTCCCTCGCCCCGCTGGGTGGGGTGGAAGAGCTGTACATATATATATATATATTTCGCGATATCTCTGACTGGAGCGTGTCTGGGCTCTCTCTGTCCCCATCCCTCCTGCCCCTGGGAAGCGGTGATGATTGGACCCAGTGCTGGGGCTGAACTGGTGCACAAGGGTGGTTGTCTGGTGTCCTTGACCCCACTCCTCCAGTCCCGCTGGGGGTGGATTACCCGTCACCGAAAGATTTAATATTTATTTATCTTGCAACCAGCTCGGTTGGCCCTGGGGGAGCTGGTGACCTCGGGGGGGTGCGGGCAGGAGGTTCACAAGGTTCAAGCAGGAGTTTGCCTGTTCCCTTCTGAGTTCTGCCCTGGGATTTCTGACCCCAGCATGGTGGCGTCGCTGGGATTTTCTTTAATTCTGGAGCCTACCCTTGACAGAGCGCACCCTTACACCTTGCCGTGCCTCAGTTTCCCTGGCAGAGGGGCAGCAGCAGCCCCGGCCAGCTCAGCTGGGTGAAATCCCAGGCGATTCACCCCTGGTTTGAGGGGGGCAGAGGAGGCTGTTTGCTTCCCTGCCCGAGGGCGCTGGCGGTGGTTGTGGGCAGAGGGAGACTGGGACAGCTGGGATTTACTCCCAGTCACCCGCTGGGATGCAGCAGGGCTGAGCCGGTGGTGCTCCAGGAGCGAGCTCAGCCTTGGGGATGCTCAGCCCCGGCCCCGCAGGCTCCGAAGGCAGGAGGCGGCAAACTCAGCCCTTAGTAGACACGAGAGAAGCCACACGGGCTCAGCCCCGATGGGGACGTCCCCTTAATAAGTCCCAACAACCTGCGGCCATGAGACGGGCTGCGGGACACATCCTGCCCTACTCCCTCGTAGCCGTGGGCAAGGGACGGGTGGTGACGTGGAACCGGAGCCCAGCGATCCCTCTGCGGTCCCCGACGCCGCACCCCGACCTCGTCCCCTCCCCATGATGTGTCCCTGTGGGGGAGATGTGTCCCGAGCAGGATCTGGCCCGGGGGGTGCTGCAGCCGCCGCTGCCA